AGAGGTCTCAAACCCCTTGCCATGGGCAGGGACACCTTCAACTTGACCAGGCAGGTTTCTCAAAGCACCATATATAGCATATGAGTGGGTTAGCCATTCTGGCCTGAGAATGGGTTTCCTGACTGCCTCACAGGGACCTGTACTGATACACCATCTTTGGCTGCCTGTTGGGAAGCAGAACCTGTAGTGAAGCACTTCCAGAGAAAGCTCCAAGATGCAAGAGCACCAGGGCTGAAACACACCAACTGCTGGCAATGGAGACATGTTTGCCTAAAACTTCAAAGCTGTGCTTTATTTTGTGCTGTTTGAACAACTGCCTTCTCAACATCTTCGCAGCCTCAAAGGCAAATGACATTGCAAAGTCTCTGTTGTATTTCTATTTCTCAGTTGTAGGAAAATGTTGGTGATCATGTTTCAGTGCTCATCAGGGCTATAGTTCCCATTTTATGCAGCCAAGGTAACAAAATCTAGCTAGATGTCAGCTTTGAAAGCATGAGCTATTCTCTTTATTTGAATAATTATAATTATGGGCCTTGCTCTGTGTCAACTTTTCAGTATTTTTGTCCACCAGAGCCACATAAAAAAGTAAACTGAGTTTGCAGAAAAGTCAGCTCTGAAAGCACTTACTGGCTTCTAGTAGAGTGCTTAAGCAGCTGCTGTAGCATTTGGAAACTCTGCATTAATAGCACATCATGTAACCAAGGAGCTTATACGCCTGGGGGCCAGCCAGGCCAGGCCACCTTTCCTTCCCCCTGCCTGTAGGAAATCTCAATATACCGCTGTATAACAGGCAGGGAAAGGAGAGATTAGAGAATTATATGTAGACAGATGTCTAAGAGATCATTTATAACTTACTTTACAATCATTCCTGGTTGTAAGGCTTTGCATTCCTGAAGAGCTAGAAAGAAACTTCAAAATTATCATTCTGCCTCGCTTGGCACCTCAAGAAATCAGAGAACTGCTGGCCTACAAATTGCTCCACTTGCACTTGTTCCCATATAACCTTAATTAATGTAGTGGTAACATGCCTGAGATAGCTAATACAGTGAATGGGGGAGAGCTCCATGAGTACAGCAGAAGACCTTGATTTAGTGCCTGGTTTGATTAAACTACTGGAGTAATCTTATCTGAGACTGATGTCTCATGGTCTTTCCTTTTCTATAAATAACACAGGGAAGTTTGTCCATGGCAGAATTAGTCTTTCACTATATGTTTGCCCAGGGAGCACTAAGGAGACAGGAACTGAAAATAATGGGAGCAACACACATGCTTTTGCACAGGTCCTGAGAAGCAATACATCCGAGGGACTGAGGTCTCTAAACATGTTCAAGGTTGTAATGAAAAATTATATGTTACAAGTCTAATTCTTAAATCTGCCAGCTGTGTGTGCACTGTGTGTGGTGGTTTTCACTCCTTCTGGAAAATTATTTGATTTCATATTTAAAATGGAGACTTAATGTAGCTGTGTGAAAATATCAGAGACATCTCCAAAGAAAATTACCATTCTGCTATTACTGAATTTTCCTAATTAAGTTTCTGTGTTTAGGATCAATATATTCAGCAAAATATGGTATAGGTTCCTCTGTGATATGGAAGTGCAGCAGTACCACTAGATGGTAGCGTTGCTTATTTCAGTCACCTCTTTCTTACTTCCCGCTGCAGCAAGAGAAACGAGTTTCTCAGGTGGGATCGCTGCGTACTGTAACTATCCCTCTACATGGACTAACCCGCAATTTAAAAGCTGGTATATAGAAAAAAGCAGAGGGAGAACCTATGAACTTCTGAGAGCACACTCGGAGGCATAGTCAGTCCTGACACGAGGCCTGCAGACCCTTGCAGCACCAAGGGTCAGTTGCAGAGGGTTACTTGCCAATGGAGACTCCTATGGACTGTCATTCCTTGTTCCTAAGTCAGATAGACTTAAACCAAAATAAATTTGCAGTCAATAGTTTCCAGCAAGATGATAATGAAATTCTTTTGGTATGAGCTGATAATATAGAAAGGCCTCTTTTTTTCCCCCCATGTTGTTCATAAATACTATTTCACAAGATATTTGTGTCTTAAGTGCAGAACACGAGGTGCTCAGTATTCAGTTCTTCAAGGCCACAACTGCAGAAACTGTTTCATTGAACTGGAAAAGTTAACACAATGGATTACCTTAAACCAAGAATTAGACTTCAATTATCCTTGTGGGTCCCTTGCAACTCAGGATATTCTGTGATTCTATGAAGTACTTGATGAGACTTGCTGAGCCTAGGTAAGCAGTGTATCTACCTGGAAATGTTTCCAAGAAGTGAATGTACTGAGCAGCTGTCCATTTAGGACATGAAATTCCTTACTTAGATTCCCCAACACTTCATTTTTATGACTCTGCTTACTACACTGCAATCCAAAGTGCATTATATAGACTATGTAACTAAATGTTAATCATAATTCTAACCACATAGTGAAAACCACAATGCAGCATTATTACAGTTCTCATTAAAGGAACGTGAATTTCTGAGTATCTTGCCTGGACATTTCTGTTAGAGAAATATATTAATAGGTTATTCACTAATAATCTTCGTAACCCAATACTCGCCTTTTATGTCTTCAGTAGATATAGTGCATATTCCAGGGAAAGTTCTGTTCCAGTATGCTGTCAAAGCATAAAAGCTTTCCCTCCTGCTGGATGATGTGCTTTGTTGAAGAGAGAAGCATCCTGTTTTGAAAATGCTGAAATTTGATCAATCACCTTTGGATGTCTCAGGAGGTCATCAGTCCTTCTTGATCATGATGACATGTTTTTATTACAGATCATTATAACTATTGGAAGGCTTTTTTGGACCATCATCGTAGTTTTTAATCTAAAAATATCAATTAAAACCTGAGTTTTAGTTTACAAAAGTGTTGCATTTTTAAAACAAATTAGAAGATTAAATCATGTCCAATTTTAAGACAAATGGAGAAATGTGGGTACCACTACACACAAGTACAATACATTTAATAGCAAGCTATTAAGTACTTAAGTATAATTTCCAGGTGTTTTGCTCTGCATTATTACATCTTTGCCTAATCATTGTACATCTTCACCTAATTGTTGTTTCTTTTTGCTCATCATTGTAGTGCTTATAATTACAAATATTTTTTTCTGTTTTTTAGGCTGTTAGGTGTCAATATAATCTTCTAAGACCATAAAATATTTCTTATTAAAGATGCTATATTTCTATTCATCTTAATGATTCCTTTAATTATTCTCAGTTCATGAGTGTTCTGCCATTCTCAGGAGCAGAGTTGTAAAGCCAGGGAACAAAATACTGAAGAAGGTTCTGTAACGCATAGGTAAAATCAGCTTTTGCAGATAAACAGATTTGCCATTATAAATTGTGTGACAAATTTTAAAGTAGACTTGGGCACTTCAATAGGACTACTAAATGTGTTTTAATTTATGAGAAAATGAGACTGCCCATTTTATTATTGTAATAGACTTCTTTGATCTCTTTGTACCTCTTTGGTCACTGCAATACAACACTATTTTACTGCTGATTATTTTGCATCTGCTGTTCCAGGGACTTCCTAAGATTGTTAGAAGGTGTAGCAGTAAAAGGTCTGTTAGTATTTACATGCTTTCCACAGAACTATCATCCCATGTTGAATTTTCGCTTTAGCAATGAGCAGTTTCTTCCTCTGTAATCTCAAAAACCTATCTTGACAGAACAGACAATATCCCACATATTTGGAAGGCTTTAAACAGAAATATCTTTCTATAGGTGTGTTCTTTTAAGCCTCACTACTAACTGTCCAGGACATTGCTGTGTTTCTCTATTCATCCATCTAGAGATGTGCCTAAGGATTTACTCTCAACCTTAACCCTGTAGTACTACGAGCAGGTTAGAGCAGTGACGTTTCCTGGCCTGGTCCTTTACTTGTTTGTTTTCTGCACATGAGAACACTCCATTTCTTTTCATTCACACTGGTTACCTGAGTTTTGAGACCCACCAGAACACCGCTACCTGGAGCACTATGCTGGTTTCAAGCACACTCCGTTATTCCACTAGAGGGGTTTGCTAATGTTTACCAGGCACGTGAGCATTTAACTGACACCCGTGTTGCTACTTGGAGTCCATATCCAATGTGAAAACCAACCCGTTCTTAGAGCCATAGAAACATACAATTGTTAAGGTTGGAAAAGACCTCTAAGATCATGAAGTCCAGCCATTACCCTGACACTGCTAAGTCCACAACTATAGCATGTCCTCAAGTACTACATCTATACATCCTTTTAACTACCTCAAGGAACAGTGATCCTACCACTTTCCTGGGCAGCTATTCCAACGCCTGACCACACTTTTAGTGAAGAAATTTTCCCTAATGTCCAATAAAAACCTCCCCTGCTGCAACTTGAGGCTGTTTTCTCTTGTTCTATTGCTTTTTACCTGAGAGAAGAGACCAACCTCCTTCTGTATACAACCTCCTTTCAGATAGCTGTAGAGAGTGATAAGGTCTTCTTCTAGGTGGGCTTCCAAACCTTCTTGGCTGTCTACCTCTCTGGCTCTCATTATTGCTGGAGGAGCACTGGAATACAGCAGGTGGCATTTTGGGAGCATAATTGCCACTGCCTCATCTTGATATGGTCATTACTACATTTGCCAAGCATAAGCCATACCCTTCTTTTCCCCTAAGGAGAAAAAACGATTTTTTTTTTTTTTTCAGGGATAAACCTGCCTCACACACAATCCCTACTCCTTCACAGAAGGACATCTGCTCTGGAGGCTGCCAGTGAGCTGTTGACTAAGAGCCCCCAATGCTGCTCCGCCGAGGGACTGCGACCCCGAGGTCTGGCGAGGGTGAGGCGGGGGTGGAGCGGGGGCTGACAGCGGGCACGGGCACACACACCACACGGCTCCGCAGCCCTCGCCCCGCCCGGCCGGCCCCCTGCGGGCCGCGGCTTTGGGCGGTGGCCGGGGCGGAGGGAGAGGAGGGGCGGTGGCGGCCGGCGGCCGGAATCGTTTCCTGGGTAAGCGCAGCGGGCTGGGAAGCGTTTCCGGAAGGCTGGCCGCATCCCGCAGCGGCTACGGGCGCCTCCGGGGCGGGCGGCGGAGCGGAGCGGCGGGCAGGTGCGCTCGGCGGCGGACCGGGAGGGAGGAAGAAGGGCGGGCAGCGCAGCGCAGCGTGTCCCGCGGCGGAGCCCTCGGTGCGCGGCCGCCCGCGGTGCCGCCGCCCCGGCCCGCTGCCCGAGGAAGCGGGCAGGAGGCCGGGGGAGGGTCCCGTCGCCCTTGCCCGGGGCGATTCCGGCGCATCCCCGCCTCGAGGGTGCGGGGCCGGGGCCGGCCGGCGGTCCGCTGCCTTCCCCCGGCGTGCAGGAGCGCTGCGGTGCTGCCGCTGCTGCTGCAGAGCTGGCTCCAGCCTGGGGCGAGCGTGGGCTCTGCGCCCGCGGGCGGCGAATAGCAGCGGCAGCCAGTCTGGTTCTGCTGATGGTGGTGCGGTAAAAAAGCCTGAAAAGTGTCAAAAATGCCTGTAGAAGTACCTTTTAAAAATTGTTATTGTTGTTAGAACGGGCTTTTGCGAGTTCAGCTCTGTGATTAAATCGTAGTCGAGGGTTGCAAATGGGAGCGTGCAAAAAAATACAGTCCTTGGAACAGAACGTGGACCCCATGAATCCCACTTGGAAGTTCTCACGAATTTGCTTGGGTCCCAAGGCAGCGACAGAGCTACTTCTGCTTGCAGCTAGAGAGAGAGTGAATTCAGACAGATAAAATGGAAAGTGTAGTGGTTTGTATTTGTACTTCGTTGCTTTGCCTGCTTGTTTGCAATGTTTTTTAATTCTTAGGTGGGCTTCTGCTTGCTGGGAAGGACAAGTATAGTTCTTGGCTTTAAACTCAAAATAACTAAAATGAAGAAAAAAACCCAACCCTGAAGTGGTGATGGGCTTGTAGGCTTTTTGTATTGTGGATGCTGTTGGTAGCTGTACATGGTACATGTGCATGGTACCTGCAATCAGTTGTGCAGGATGACAGTATCTGCAGCAAGTTTCAATGCTTCACTAAAGGTCTGCTGTGTTGCCCCAGAAGCTGAGGTGTGGGTTGCTGCTGAGCTGCTGCAGCTTTGCTCTGTCCTCTGGCTCGATGGTGTGTTCCTCTAGTTCATTCTAGATCTGACATGTCATCGTCCTGCCATCTCATGCTCTAGTATGTTCTGAAAGACTGAATGAGTTGTCTGCCTTGTGTTTAAAACTATTTTCTGCCTGCATAATTGCATTTAGTTAAAATAAGTCTGCAGATGTCCTAGCACTTAAAGGGAGAAACATCCTCTTATGGTGACCTTGGGACAAAATCTTGGCTGATTAATTTCTTTGCCTGGAACAGTCATATGGAGTGTGGGTATTTTTGTTCTTCCTTTATTTTAGAGCAATAAGTGTTTGATGGAATACTTTTTGGCTTGTATTTTTGGGATTTTTTTTGCCACCTAGGGGAAATTGAGATCTGGAGAGGACTCTTTGGGATGAAGAATAGTTTTTTCATGTATTAGGAAGAATATGTAACTTGGTAGTAACAAGGAGGAAGATTCTTGGCTCTGAAACAGCATGAGTGAATGTGCCTTTCCCAGCAAGAGAGTCGTCTAAGCAGTAGATTACAACTGTGGGAATCATTTGCTGGGAAATGGAAAGCATGACTTGGAAACCTGTACTATTTCTTTTGTTTTTCAGTTCTGCAACTAAGTTGGGAACCAGTGACAAAACTGCTCATTTTTGGTGTGGTGTTGAGTAGGCTGTGCTGTGCTCTTCCTCAGGAGGGATGGTGACTTCCTTAGGAAATGCCTGAGGAGCCTAGAAAGGTCTGCTGCAGGGTTTAAGCTGAAGAGAGTGCTTACTTCAGGAGCTAGATAAAGGGGAATTTGAATACTTCAGATTGCCTACTATAAGAATTTTTTAGCAGAGATTGTGAAAAACTAAAATGAATCCTGGTAGTTGGTAGGTTGTGGTGAGCAATCAACTGATTGCATCTCCATCAGATAGCAAGCTCTGACCTAGGATGTGTGGTCACACTTGAAAAAATCATCTGTGCTGAAAGCAAACTGTATGTATTCCACTTGCTGGTGGAAGACAAAGTCTTGCCTTTGTTCCCTGCTGCAAGCAGGGAGCTCCATTACTGAGAATGGTAGAGCATGTGCTGGGTGCATTGGATCGTTGCGGATCAAGCTGCTGCCGCCTTGCTGCCGTGGAGAAAGTAAAGGTAGTGGTAGACTGTGTTTGGCCGGGACACTGGCAGGAGGGGGGGCGGGATAGGTGCAAGCTCCTAGGGAGTGCCAGGCACAGGTTCTCTCACCTGTGCTGTGGGTGGGACAGGTGCAGACTGAAGCTGGAGAACAGAAATGCCTCCTATTCCATAGGACATGAGGAAAGCCCAGCTTGTTTAGCCTAGCAAATGAAGCCTGAGAGGGAATATGATTGCAGTCTGCAAATACAGCAGGGATATAAACACTAGAAAGGGCAAGGAGCTATTTAAGCTAAAGAACAATGTTGGCATGAGAACAAATAGATATAAACTGGCATGAATAAACTTAAGTTAGAATTTACACAGTTTCTTCCCTAAATGGACTGAGGTTCTAGAACTACCTTCAAGTGGGATAAATGGAAGCAAGCCTCTTAGCTGGCTCTTGAGGATATACTGAGGAAGTCTGTGTTGTGTGCTTGGCTGTGGCAATAGGAAATAAGGCTTGGTGACTCAGGAAAAGCTTTTCCGTATGTCTGAGTTAACATAGATTTTCTGCGCTAGAGTTTCTTATTTTTAAGATCTGACATTCAAAACTGGCATAAAAATGCTTGCTTTACAATTTGTATTGCTGCATAGAAAGGATTGCAGTGTGCTTAGTGGGGACTTTCTGAAATGTTTTGCATGTTAGTTTTTTTCCCCCCTGCAAAATAATGTGTTGTCTAACAGCTGCATGTAATTGTGTGGAAAATCCTTTTTCTTTAAATCAAAACTGTGCAAAAGAAGAATGTACGTTTGTGCGTGAGCTGCTTGAGCTTACTAACCTTCAGGTTAAAAAATGAACTGCAGCAAACCTCCCCCCCCATATAAGTAATTCATAAATCTTCTCAAGAAAGATAAAAAAGCAGTTCTTGGGGGGCTGTACAGCAGACTCAGATGATGTGAACTGAGACCAGTGCTCCAAGCTATGCTGTGACTGGAAGACTGGAATAAATGAAGTTAAAGCAAATTTGAAAACAAGTCTAGTTGAGCTAGTTGTGCATGGGATTTGTCTCAATTTGCTGTCATGCAGAATAGCTGAGTTGTCTGGCATGGTGGTTGCAGTAGTTGAACGTGTATAAAGTCTGTAGTTGACTCTAAAAATATCGTGTGTGCAACGTGGAATAGAACCAGCTGTGGATGCTGTATAATGGGTACTGTGTCAGCAGTACCTGACTGCTTCTCAGAGATGTAGTAAGTATAGAAATGAAAGAGCAACTATTATGGGCCAAAGCAAGGGTCTCTTGCCATCAGGAGGGATGAGGGGCTCTTTCTTGCTGACTTATACTTTAGGCTGATCTATTCCCTGCTGAAATCAAATGTGAGAAAATAATGGAGAGGTGGAAATGGGTGCATTTATGATGTGCTTCTTTGACTCTGTGACTCACATCCCTTTTGCAGGGAAAAGGAGACCTTGGGACATGTATAGCTAATGCATGAGGCTGCAGTTCCTGTTCTTGCTTCTCCAAAGCCTCTTCCTGAGCTTACAGGTGGGTTTTTTTTTTTATTTATAGCTTTCCTATCTTGCACCCTGCAAAGGAATGGGATCTTCTTGTCAGTCTCCTCCTGCCTCTCTCTGTGGGCTGGTGGGATCCAGACTCAGTGACCAGTATCTCAGCACCTCTGTGCTCTGTGCCTGTTTCTCTTTCCTTGTCTCAGTATGGCTTTGTGCAGGCAGAGGAGTAATCCATGATGTCCCCAGAGATTTAAGGAGCAGAGAGTGTTGTTGGGATGCTCTGTGTGGTGTCCTGCTTTAGTTTCCCAATTTTTTTTCCTTCTTCAGCCTGCTCCCTTTTTAATTTGTTGTTTTCTGCAACATTTCTTTTTTTTTTTTTCCTCTCCATGTAAACAGATATCCAAGGAAAAATAAGAACAGGACGCCCTTTTTCAAAACCTCCTCTATAGATACTCTCTGAACCTCTCTCTGTTCTCAGCGTGGCATTGCCAGAGTTAGGTGCAAACTTTCCCTGTTTCAAAACATTTTTGGTTCCAAATGCATATCTGCTTTGTCTGCAGCCTCCTGGGACTTCGTTGCAGCCTCTATGGTCTTTGGCCAGGAGTGCTGCTTCTCTGTGAGTCTGCTTCTGGCTGTGTAAGGGATTCCCTCCTTCTGCTTGGCTTCCTTCATGTGGTGACTCTTAGCTCTTTTGTGGCAGGGATGGGTAGTGATCCTGTACTTATGCCATTCAGGATTTTGTAGGCCTCTGTCTTCCTCATCAAGTTGCTTTTTGACCTGCCTGAAGAATTGCCTACTCGGATATTCTTTGTCTGGAAGCCATTCTGGACCATGAGCAACCTATTCCAGGAGTTGATCCTAGTTCTACTTGTCACTTTAGGATGGGAGGATCAGGGCTGTATACAGTTTTCAAGATGTAGGTGAGCTTTGGGGCTATACAGGGAAATAACTATGTTTTGTTTTCTTTCTTAGTGATTTGTAATGTTTGATTTGCTTTTTGGAGATTTGCTAGAGAGTTAATTTCTTGAATCTGTGAAACTGAAATGTCAAGATGTTTCTTAGGAGTATGGTCAGTTTGGAATCCCACGGTGACATATAGACATGGTTGTGTCTTTCCCATGTGCATCTTCTTACATTTCTTGTGTTTATTTGCATTAGCTTTCCTCTGCACCCTTGTTGACTCAGTCTCCCAGGGGAGATTGTGCAATTCTTAACATCCAGGCCTTTCTACTATAATACATTTTTTTATCATCACACTTCCTCGACTTACTGTTTATCCCCCTTTCCTTGTCTCACATGAATGTGTCAAGCAGCCAAAGCCTGAGCATATGTCTCTGCCAAACTTCATTGGTAACTTCTGTTCGCTCAAAGAAGAGACAGTTTACTCTTACCCTTATCCTCCTTCTATTTT